ATTCTACCGATGTGATCTATCTATGTGTGTTCATCTCAAAAAGTCGTTTCGAAATTCAGACGTACGATCTTCGAAAAGCATTGATTATTACTTTCAAATGGTAGATTACGTTAGTAGCCTTGTTTATGGCACTTGAAATACTTGGCCATCAAGTTCTCTCATGTAAGAAGAAGTAATGTTTTCATTTAGTGGTTGTGACAACAACCACCAATACGGCGATGACAATTGAACGGCCGGTAGGGCGTCGAATAATCCGAGGTGTGGATATGGTATCTTCGTTGGAAATGCCGAATATGCCAGCCGTATGTACGCCACCGACGAGACAATTCTCGCCTCGAATTCGATCTGATATGTTTCGCCGTAAGGATAGCCCTGGTACGGATTCATCGTCGAATCATTCAAATAAACAATGGAAGTAAGATGAAATCACTATTAATTCCGTTTACTGCTTCACTCATATCACATATGTTTAGACGGCAAGAACTCAAGAAATTTTCATAGAACAGGCCGTTTGTCCAACAACTTATTTTGCTGTTACTTTGTAAATGCCAAATAATTGTTCATTTTCGAAAAGTTCGAATCGCTGTTGGACAGGGCAATTTTGTTTGTTTGAAGCGTGCTCAAATAGTAAATATCGAAGTAAATGACACAAAAANAGCGAATTGTTTCAGTTATGACGGAAATGGAAATGAGGAGAATAATACGGTGAAAAATGTGAATATCGAAATGAATGAAACCGCTTGAAAATACATTGCAAAAAACATGTGAATTGCTGTGAATATTTGACGATAGTAATAACACGAATCTGTTTATTTCATCACTATAGAAACCGTTCAGAAATTTACTTACACACATATACACCAAAAAACCGTTTCTGTGAAATGATTCTTTACGTTTTTTGGATCTTATATGGCTTACTAAAAATGGTTGCAAACCGGAAATTTTTTTGTCTTCTTTCGATGAAATATCCATGAGGAAAAAGGTTGCTGTACATTTGTCAGTTGTGGTATTCATGAATTACTGGCCGACTTCATGAAACAGTTCAGTGACAGATAGCGTGTTCAGTTAGATCAATCTGACCGATTGATCTCATTTCTGAACGATGAATTAATTAATTGATCTCGAATCGATATTTCAATACCAAAGTGATGTTCCCTATTGAAGACGTTTCATAAAAGAGAACTTATATGAATCACTTAATTGCCTTTGTTATTTGAATGAATATTTTCAATATCGCTCAGTTTTAACCTCAACACTATTCTTGTCTTCTGAATGCAAACACCACGCCATCGTCGGATGAAAACTAGTTGCCCTGGATTTTACTCACTTAATACATGTAGCGTATGTGAGACATAAACTAACCGTCTGAATTAAGCTCAACGAAGCCAAAAAGTAATCGTTTGAGGAGTAGAATAAGGCACAGGACAGTGTAGGATCGATATGCTATCGACTAAAGCGGTAGTTCTCACGTTGGGGTGCTCCATCAACCCTTTTAAAGATCTGGCAGGCCGCCGCTACTCCTCCCCCCTCCTGATACAAGAACTCACTAATTCTACTTATAAAGTCAGGAACAAACGGAAAATCGGTCCGGACATTTCTCAGCGGCGTGAAAGAAATTAGTATCTTAGATCGTTGTGTTCCTCAATATTGCAATCGATTATGATTACATGAAAAACTGCATCTGAGACGCTCACTTTAAGCTCATTTAGATGGATTCTCATTCT